AAGCCTAAGCATAGCGTACTAAATCATCCTTAGCGTGAAATAACTTTTCACCATAGAAAAACCAACCTAAGTACTCCGTAAGAAGTCTGATTATGTGCGATTTTTCCTAAATATATTAAACTCAATGTTTCTATTTGCCTTGACAATTTTTATTTGTTTACTCTTGCAAATTTTCCTTGCCTCGACCAAACTTTTTTGTACATCATACTTCACAATATTTATTTCCTCGAAAATACTTTTCCATCTATTTATATCCTCTGATACTAATTGTTTTCTGCTTTAATAAGAATTTAAGGACAAACTCGTGACATCTAGTTCTAGTTATAGAAAAACATCAAAATTTCCCACCAATCCTTGAGGAGATGATAACTCAACTTACTATTATATGACTTGCATCAATTGTGTACACTTGCACAGATTTGCTTGCCTTAGCATATATATTCACAAGCGATAAGAGGGGACAATCATACTTGAAATATTCCATTCTTTGGCACTCAAAGCACACCAATTGATCATTCTTTTTTCTTGATTCATACTTCACATCTTTCTCTTTTGATGTCATAAATCGCTTGAATATTTGAAGAGCTTGGCCATATCTTTTTTTTATCCACCTCTTCACTTGAGTCTTGATTACTCTCATTGTTGGACTTGAAGGTGATTCCTACCTCTTTCTTCTTATTATTCTTTCTTCTTTTTTAGTCTTATCTCATGGGTGAGTAACAGATTGATAAGCTCATCAACAGTAAACAACACCAAGTCTTTAGATTCTTTGATAGCATAAGTCTTTCCTTCTCATGACATTGGTAAAGAAGAAGTACCTTTCTCATTACTTCTTCATTGGGATAAAAATTCACAAAACTCTTAAGCTCATTACTGTTAGAGGTGAACCCATTGGACATCGTCTTTATGTCTTTATCGGGCTTCATCTTGAAGTTCTCATAGTTGGGAGTGAGAATGTCAATCTTGGACTTTTTCACTTGGCTTGTTTCTGCATATGTCACCTCTAACTTGTCTTAAATCTCCTTAACATTAGAGCTTAAAGATACTCTACTATATTTTTTCGAGCCAAGAGCACAATAAAGGATATCTTGGGCTAGCTTTCTATATTCATTTATCCACTTCGATCAATTTCTTGGAGGGGTGGGAGAACCATCGATGATCTCATCCCAAATCAAAAGGTTGATGGCTTGGATGAATAATATCATCTTATTCTTCCTATATGATTAGTTATCACCATTGAAGTAGGGCAAGTTTTGGATGGAGTGTTAATCCTTGAGGTAGCATGAGTCGGAGGTCGAAGTCATCTTCTCAGTTGAGTAGGAAATTAATAGAGTTTCTTCAAGGAATGTCTCAAGATTGTTAAACCTTTTAATGAGTTAAGATCTAGTGCAATTTGTTAGGATTTAAAAGGCTCTAAATATCAACCAAAAAAAACCAAGAGGGGGTAAATTGGCCTTTAAAAATTTTAGGTATGAAGGAAATAAATATAAATAATTTCACACAAGATTTACAGTGGTTCAATTTCCTTAATGAAGCCTACATCCACTACCTTAACTATCACACTAAGGATTTCTAACAAAATCACCAATTTCTTCTTTCTTTTTCTAGGATTAAGAATAACCTTTACAAAATCTCTATCTTTTAAAAGAATAATATTGAACCACTACCCTTTTACAAAAGGATAAAAAGATGTAAAAGAAAACCTCTAAAGGTAGGTGTTTACATGAATTTAGCTCATAAGAAAGAATCCTAAAGATTTACAATTATGCTTAAATCACTTATGCACAAAAGAAAAAGGAAAATAAAAGTGAAAGAGTTTTTTTCTTGATCTCTATTACTTGGATAAATGTTGTAACATTCTCCAAGTGAGTTTTTTATTTGGTTTTATAGGTATGAATATGTTTGTGATTGTTTCTAACCGTTGGAGGATGTTTGGTGCCTTTGCAAACTTATTTTTCTTCAAATCAAAACTATTGAGAACATGGAGTATATGTATTGCCTAAGGGAGTATTAGTACTTTCTTTATAGTATTTAAATAAACTAGTCGTTAGTGACCATTGGGCTTGAACAATATCGATACTAGGGTTTCACGGTATCGATACTATTGTGTAAAATGTTATCAGTACTCCTAGAGTATCAATACCAATTTTGCATACTAGAATTTGAACACTTTCGAAAACAATATGTAGTATCAATACTACCATGAGAGTATCGCTACTTCTCTTACCTTTGGTATCGATACTACAAGAACAATATCAGTATTATTTATGTGGTATCAATACTATAAGAATAATATTTGTATTTTTCATGCAGTATCGATACTATAAGAATAATATTACTATTGTTCATGCGGTATCAATTCTATAAGAATATTATCGATACTACTTACTCAAAAAATTGTTTTGTGTTCAAGTTCTAATTTTGTGGATTTTCAATTATTTTTAAAAACTTTGAACAAATTCAATAAGTCCAAAAATATTTTGTTATTAAATTGTTATATCAAAAAACATGATTAAACATATACCTATTTTGGGACTAGGATCTTAGATCTTCTAAAGAATATTGATATCACATGTGTAATATCGATACTAAATAACCATTTAAAATGTTTAGTTTAACCTATTTCATCAATACCTTATGTCTAAGTATCGATACTATATGCATTACTGTTGGCTCTTACGATCAACCAAAAACCGCCAAGAGGGGGTGAATTGACCTTTAAAAATATTGGTGTGGAAGCAATAAAAGATAAGAATTACACGCAAGATTTATAGTGGTTCGACTTTCTCAACCAAAATCTACATCCACTACCTTAGCTCCACCCTAAGGATTTCAACAAATTCACTAATTTGTTCTTTCTTTTTCTAGGCTCAAGAGTAACCTTTACAATTCTCTAGTTTTTCAAGGCTAAACTATAACCACTCCCCTTTTACAAAGGATAAGAAATATAAACAAGAAACCTCACAAGGTAGGTGTTTACAAAGATTTAAGCTCATAAGAATAAAAACAAAAGATATTCGATTAAGCTCTATACAATTATGTACAAGAGAAAAATGAAGGAAATAGGAATAAAAACTCTTTTCTCTTGAACTCTAAGCTTGGATAGGTGTAGTAACCTTCTTCAAGTGTCCTTGGAGTGTTTTTATTGTGCGAAATGAGTTGATACCCGTTTATGACCGTTGGGGATGAGTTATAGCCGTTGGGAAGCTGCAATAAAGGCCACCTACATATGCGGTTTCGAAACTTTGAGAAAGTTTCGAAACTTTGTGAAAGTATCGAAACTTTGTGAAAGTATCGAAATTTTTAAACACACATGTGCAGTATCAATGCTAAATAATCAATTAAAATATTTAGTTTAACCTATTTCATCAATACCTTGTCTAGGTATTGATACTATATGCATTACGCAATCAAATTCTTGTGCCAACCATGCTTGAAAAAACTTGGTCTATATTATATGCGACCTATGACAAAATCAATGGCACTTAAATCTTAACGTATCATATTTTAACTTTTGAAAGTATTTTAAATGTCAAGATCTCTTCGAGATTAATGTATTTTGTCTTTATAATTGAACAATTGATAAAAATATTATATATATAAACGACTTACATATAGTGTAGAACTTTTAATTTTACACTTTTTAGGATAATTAGATGGGGAAAATTAAATGCTAAGATTAATTCATTGTTTTCTTTTTAAGTGAATATATTATAGTTTTCTACTGTTAATCTTAGTTTTACACTATATAATTGGATTTTACCCTTATATATAGAGAGAGGGGGTAAACTATCTCATTTTTTTATCTTGGTTCTTATAATATTTTAGGGTAAACTATACATTTAGTACCTAAACTATAATTTTATTTTTTTCAAAATCATACCTAACAATTAGTTTATGTTTTAATTTGATGTCCCATCGTTAAAATATTTACAAAACTACGGACATTTCATTTTTTAATTATTTGTAATAATTATTTCACTTTATCTTATAATCAATATCACTATTAGGTTTTAAAGGCATAGTACCAAAGTGAAGCCCAAACTAAAAATTAGACATAATTTTAAAAAAAATAAAATTTATGTACTAAAACGAAATAAAACTAATAATTTATGTATTAAATATGATGTTTATCTAATATTTTATGAACAAAAAGAAACACGTGATATTGATTGAAAATATATTTTTTAATAATAATTTTACATATTTATTCTAATAAAAATACTTTATACATTTAAATAAAAAAATGATATTCTTAAATACTTATTTTCGATTTAATCCTATATATAATATGTATGTATTGGACGTCCGCCATTACAGTTCCTTAATTGCTTTCTTTCTCGATCCTATTGTTGTTTCCTCTACTTTTTTTCCCTTCTTTTATTTAATTTCTTTCCGAAGGTTTAGTGGAAAAAATGATAGTTTGATAAAAGAAAGAATGGGAAGGGTGTTGAATGCTGAAGTTTTTTCCTGGGGATGAAAATGTTGCACCGTAACATTCAATGTGATTCCTTTCGGTTTTGCAATGGTGGATGTTAGTTGAATATCCAGACTGATTATTTGTTTACAGGCATTCAAAATCCAAGCAGCGATTGACCGAGGGGCGGTCGGATAATCGGAATTTCAAAGTCTTATATATTTTAGTTATTTTCCTTATATTTTCAATAGAAAATATGTTGTCTCCCCCTAACATAAAATTCTGACTCCTCCCTGAATCTGAGTATAAACAAATCGAGACAAAAGGAGGCAGTAGAATAAGCAGGTTGTACATCAGGCTATCATGTTAAATTTTGGATATATTTAGAATTACCTCGTCCTTTAATGTAGATAGAAACATATGATTTGTACCAATTCTCATCAGTACATCATTCCTTACTTGAATCTGGATGGATTTTTGTCTTATCTCTTCATCTAAGCGATGTGTTCTCATTGTTCCCTGCATTATATCAGGTATCTTAAAGCAATACAGGCACATACAAACCTCATCCTTTATTTGTGTTTCAGTCTTTCCATTGCAGGCATGGAAAGGCTTATCTTTTTGATAGGGTGTAAGTGTTTCTTTGTTGCATGCTCAGTTTTTGTCTCTGTAGAGTGTTGGCTAGAAATGTTCTTCTCTTATAAACATTTATGCTTGTTCATGTTTTTGTTAAACTAATTACTATATAATTCTCTCTTTGTTGCAATCTGTGAAAGTGACAACTGTCGTTTTCGATGTCAAATAAAAGTCCTTCTCAGATAATAAATAAGGAAATTCGCAGTATAAATAAGGGTCGATTCCACAGGGACTTAGAAAATTATAAACTTTTGTTCAGTTTGTTTACACCAGGCGTGAAAGTAATAAATGGGGGGTTTGGTAATGAGATATTTAAATAATAAAAGCGATTAAATAAATTAAAGCAATTTAAATAAAAATAAGAGAATAAAAATTGTGAATAAATACGGTGAAATAGCCTCAAGCCTTGTTTTGACTCAATTTCCTTCTGATCATCGAATAAGATTTTTTTCTTCGGGATTCACGTCGGTTACTTTGTCTACGAGGGCAATCCCCGTGACTCTATCTTGTATACCGAATACCTAAGGCAATCTTTGATTTCGGCTTCGAAAATTGATTCTAACAACATCAATTGTCGTAGATCAATTTCCGTTTAAGTTCGTGGCGACCGACTCGGATTGTTGCTTCAATAACCGTCAATTCCGATCTCGAATCCCTCTTGGCGAAGCTATCTCGCCAAGTGTGTTCCCAAGAAGTCGAATTGCTTTCTATAAGCTGAATCTTCCTCTCACACGTTTAATCGCAACAACCTCCAAATTTGAAAAATTGTTTGATTTTGAAAAATAAGTGCAGAGATTGAGAGATATTCCGAAGATATTAAGGGCCTGTTTCAATTCTCCAGTTGGAATTGAGTCATCGCGTCAGCTCTCGACTTATGAAAAATTTAGCTAAGCATGACAAAAATCATACTTAGCATTTTGAAAACAAAGCTTGAAAAATAAAAGAAAAATGAAAAGAACTTGAAAAGTAAAAAGAAAGCTTTTATAAAAACTAGAGAGAAAAGATGATTGTAATCAGAGTGACGAGTTTAGGCTTACCCTAAGTGGGTATTTATAGCCTCTCAAAGCCAAAATTTAAACAAGAAATTAAAATAAAATATTCCTAAGATAATTCTTTTTCAAATTTAAATTCAAACTTAAACTAGTCTCCTAATGCAACTCTGCTCGTCCATCTTCCAGAAGGCATGCGGAGAAAGTCTTCTAGAAGCTGGCGCTGACTGGACCTTCTAGAAACTGCAACGTCAGACCTCGTCGTGCCCAGAGTCATGCCCATGTCTCCAGCCATGACCAAATAATAAAAAAAATGCATAATTTGCCCATTTTGTCACTAATTCTGGAAAGCAAGGACCTGCACAAAAACAAGTATAGCACGACCAATTCAGCAACAATAATTCCACAAAATTGAAGAAATAACGAGCAAAGATTAACGATTCTGAACACTCATCAAATTCCCCCTCACTTATCTCATTCTTGTCCTCAAGTATGATTAATCAAATTAGTCAAAAGTTTCATTTACTGTTCTTTGTCAAGTTTCACATTTGAGGAAGCAAGGTAGAGACCACAATAACAATTCAAGTTAAGAAATCAATCAATTTAACATCACCAATTGGAACAAGTCAAGTTCAATTGTAATATCCAATCATTCATTAATCTCAATGCTCATAACTCAACACCTTACTGGGATTCACTCAAATCACTCAATATGTTTGGGGTAAAAAAACGCTCAATGTCAGAATTGACACGATATTACCATAGGTCTACAAGTAAATCAAATCTCCACTACTAATGAGAACACGATGCATAAATCAAAGGGTCTTTTATTGGTTTTAACGGGGCTTAGGTAGAGGTGGGAAAAAGGCTAAATATATGGCTAAATGTTCAAGGCAAGGAACTAACAAACAATAATTTCAACTCCATAAAAACAAACATTAAGCACAACAAGATAAAAAGGCAACCTATCAAACAACAAACTTCTTTTCGAAATGCATTGAATTTTTTTCTTTGTTGTTGTTTCGTTCTGAATTCTTTTTCATGTCTTTTTTCTCTTCTTCTCTCTTTTTTCTTCTTTTTTTCTTTTTTCGAACAACATTTTTTTCGAACTGCTATATTTTTTTCTCTTTTTTTTCGATGGATCATACAATGGATTAATGATTCACTTGCCCTGAAATAGGTAGAAAAGAGGGATAAAATAAAAGGCTCGGGTTTATAAACATGGTGAAAACAAAGAAGCGGGAAAAGGCTCAAAAGTGGTTAACTAAAGGAAAAATGCATGGGTAGGCTATTTAGTGGGAAACGGAATGGTTAATCCTAAGGTGCACAAATCATTTTTAAGCATCATGGTCATGTGTAATATCAACAGTATTTAACATGAAAGTTCTAGAATATTAATGCCAAATTCTACACACTCAATCCAACAAAATGAGAGCAAAAATGATATGCTCGTAAAGGCTCAAATCTCACCAAATTGTTTCATGCATTGAGCTAATCACATTTCAACTAACGAAGTCATGGAATATCACAAAAACACCAACTCGTCACAATTCATGCTATTCGCTATCAAGAACATCCTAACCTAAACAATCATGTGTTCTCAAACAAGCATAGCATTCCAAAAATAATCAACAAGACAAAGAAATTCAATAAAATTTTCGTAAATTTAATCAACACATACTAGAATCGAAACATAAAGATAAGAAAAAGGGAAATTCAATCCTACACTCAACTCCCCCTTACTTAAAGCGTTTTGCCTCAAAACGTAAAATTAAAGTGCAAGAGAAGGAATAGAGTACTCCCCGGATTTAGTGTCGACCACGGCCTCGGCCGTGATGAGAGGCGCTAGGACGTAGGTAGGAGAGGATATATGTGATGTTCGTCTCAATGGAGTGGAGGTGGTCATGAACTTCATCCATTTGGGATTGCATATCCAGGCGTGGTGTTGCAGGTGGTGGCGCCGGTGCATTACGGCGCATAAAGACTTGCTTGCTGCGAGGAGTGAGGACACCCGGTGAAATGAAGTAAGGTACACACGGGGTTCCCGTAAGTAGGCTCATTAAATCCAAGTGTCACTCATCTAAAGCATTTGCAGAAAAATTATAAGTAAATAGTGTTACATCAAAGTTAGTGATGCGAGAAGCTAAATGAGTGATGTAAGGGCCAAGGATAAGGGGCGATTGAATCGAATAACGATCTCAAAGGCCTGAGCAAACCAGAATCCCAAGTTCACAAGTTCGCCGGTTGACATGCACCACAAAAAGAATAGCTCAACTCGGCTTAAGGAGGATGATGATTTGTTCCGGCCAGAATAATTATAAGCGAGGAAGCGATGGATATAGCACAAGGCGGGGTCATGGATAAGATGGGCTCGCGTCGTGCGAGCGTTGAAATTGTGGTCGGCTAAACCGGTAAGTCCCTCATAAGACATGTCGGCATCGAAACTCTACAGAATCTCAAGTAAAACGGTTAAATACGAATGACTCGTGACATCCGTCATGAACCCCATAGCAAGATTAAATTTCGATATAGACATTGAGAAGTAGTTTCCACATAATCAAAATGTTACAACATCAGGTGAACTAACATTAAGTAGACGTTGGGGAGAGAAATTAAAAGTGGCATAGAATTCAAACACAAGTTTATAAAACGTTCCACATTTAATCATCGAATATAATTCCCAACCAATGGCAGCAAAGTATGTGTGAACAGACTCACGTAAGTGCAATGTTTCTAAAGTACGAGTCGAAATGTATTTAGCTACTCGGAAAGGGCGGTGTCTTACCAACTCGAAACGTACCAGTTCATTATTGGAGAATTGCAAATAGCCGTGCATCATTTCCTTGGGGGGAACAGCGTATGACCGACCCCGTCGGTTGCGCTCTGGGTTTTCGTGGGTTGGTGGTGGGTTGTCAGGTGCATCCCCCGGGCTAGGTAGACAGGCCAACGAAGCATCACGTGGAGGTTACTGTCGTGAGCTCGATGTTGTAGGCGATGGATCTGGTGGCGAAAAATCGGCAATGAAGTCCTATGTAAAACCATAGATAGGGTGGTACATTAGCAAAGGTTAAATCGAAACAGGGCTAGAGTTTACCTCGGGAGTGTTATCCGACGTCCCCAAATGCATCTAGTATGACGGGAATACCGTCCATTGTGAGTGTGATGACGTTGCTTAGGTCGGCATTGAGTGAAACGACAGAGATGGAGATCGTGGAGGGGATGGACGGCGAGACGTGCTTGGCCCGGGACGGAAGGAGGCGGTCGGCGCAAATGCCGAGTGATACGGTGATATCGGAACTTGGCCATGACCTTGCATATATTGAACCAGGGTCGCGGTGGAATGGAGTCAGAATCACTCGGTAACTCGATGAACGTCGATGCTCAAACACGTTGACATCCTCTAAGTATAGTGGGTAGAGGAGCGTTGGTTTTGTCGGGTCGGTTTCGCGTGCGTACCATAGCAGATTAGGGAGGAGTGGGTGGTCGTGAAAACATTGAAGTGAGTCGATTTGTTTGTTGGTTCCGCCGGTGATGAAAATGAGGAGCTGCGATGTAGTGGCGTGCGTTTTGGGGGTACTAGAGTTGGAGAAGATAAAGGGAAGAAGTTTGTTTGATTTAGGTTTAATTGTGTTATGTCGTGCTTGGGAGAGGAAAAAGAGTTTGAATAGGAGTCAAAACGGGTGTTGTTTTATTTTTATGATAAAGTGTTTTGAATATTTAAAAAAGGTGGATAAATGGTGATAGGGTGGGGTCCACAAAATATCAAAAGGGGGAAGGGGATAAGGTGGGCGGCAGAAAAATCAACTGGGGGGGGAAATATTTGGGCTTTGCTAATGTGCGTCGAGTCCCCTTGGGTTCTGCTAACGTGCGCCGTTAATGAAACGGTGCGCACAGGCTTCTCCTTCTCTATTTTTTTGTTCGATCGTGTACTGCACTGTATGTCCCGAAATTGGCATTGTTTGAATGGAAATTTTGTAATTCTTCGTCGTTTAAGTTTGAATAAAAATATTTGGTTTCTACAAAATAAAAATAGAAATTAAATTAAACATGCTTGATGAAACCAAAAAAAAGTAAAAAAATAAAAATATAGCGGAATCGAAAACAATGGGTTGCCTCCCATGAAGCGCTTTTGTTTAACGTCATTAGCTCGACGACTTGATTTAGATTTTGGGTTCTTCTAAGTCGAGATCTTCAATTAAGCAAACTTCGCTATTCGCATAATACGGTTTAAGCCTATGTCCATTTCTTTAAATCGATTGCTCGAATTGTCTTCAATTTTGACTACG